CACTGCAATCATAGGGATATTATCTGAATAAGTATATCTTCTGGTTTCTAATTTTGACTTGTTGTCATCATGAGACAAAAAAAAAAAATCGACATCGGAAATCTTATAGGTTTACTCGTTTGCTGATCTGTTTGAACTCGGTTATTACTAATAATAGTAGTAAAATAAAATATAAAAACACTTTTTTGATGTATTATAACCTTTTGCTACTGTACCTACCTACTACTGTTACGGTAGAAAAGTCGTAAGTAACTTGTCAGTGTAAACGCGAGGAAGTTTATAACGCCAAGTAAAAGATAACGAGCTCACGCACAGACAAAAATAATATACCTACCCAACGTGGATCGTAAATTTAGGATACTAATGGCTATTCGCTTTTCGTATACGCATTGACGTGTCATCAGATAAGTGGCGATAACTATGTGTGTGAGGGAACAAATTACTTAATTAACTGTGAAGGTCGGTTCGAAAAACCCTGCGTGCAGTGGCGCGCACATAAAATAACTTTAGCTGAAAGTTGATAAAATAATATATACCTACCCAAATCAAACTCATAATAATTTTCGGTTTTTTTTTTTTTGTAATTTACTTTTATTTTCCAGTTTTATTTTATGAAATGAAGTTACATGATATGATCATTGCCATCTAGATTCTAGTAATTTCTAGATGATGCTTATATGGATCTAACTTATGGAAAAACGCTCTCAGCGGTTTCGATCGATATTTCACCCGAAACTTTGACAGAAAAAATTAAATTTGATCTCAAACAAAAAATTGAACAAAAAAAATGGAAAATATACAAATAAATATTTTTCAATTATTGATTTCAAATTTTATTTTCAAAATTTCCCTCAATATGCGTTTTCAAGTTAAATGATTAATAAGAGGTTGCTCTCCGTTATAATGTAAAGCACGTTCAGAAGATAATATCCAACGTCTGAACTTTTCGTTTATTTAATAACAAATATACAACAGTTATGACTTATAATTGAACACACACACAATAATTATTTATAAGCTACGAAATAAAAAAAAACGATTAGAGGTGTTCATAATAATGAATAATAATAAAAATTATTATTATTATTATTATACCCTCACTCATTTGACTACGATCAACGTCAACTAGGTATACGTATGTGAAATTCGTCTGTATAGTTAAAACGGTATATTTCATATTATTATTATGTGTTTCGTAGACGTATAGTCTGGCCACAATAATTAAAAAATAATATATTTATATATCCTTTAAGACCTGAGGTTAAACCTTAAAAACACGGGTTTCAAAAGATTAATTTTTTACCAACCACGTAGGTACCCATTCGCATCCATGTTACTGTCGTCGTCGTCGTCGTCGTCATCTGATGAATTTAAAGTACCTATATGCGTATTGTGCAAACAAAAAGTTTTATTCGTCGTCAAAAATTACAGTCACGGCCTGGCACGACTTCGACGACACCATAATCCTAAAATCCCAATACATACATTTATACCCTTACAATATATGTGCGATTACGATATATATATATATATATTAAACTATGTACCTACCTTTCACGTACTTACGGTATAATAATAATAATAATAATATAATAATGTAATGTATATATTATATTATGCATTCAAAAAATATTTGAACTTTCGTTTTCGCGATAAATAGGTGTTCGACATTTTGAATTGCATACAAAAGCAACAATTACACGATTCGGCATGATATACATAATATTGTACAATGAATACAAATATTATTAATAAAGCCAATAATAACCATTACGTCACGCTGAAACTTTTTATGTTATTGTGTTTTTACATAACAAAGACATTTTTCAATTAAACGAGAATATTATAAATTTTCGAAAATCCTTTAAACTCTGTAGCCTACATATATATACTGCCATAATATTTACTACGAACTCTTCCACTCGTACTCGAAGATGGCATATTATATAACAATTATTATGTAATAATTCGTTGGGAGTATTTGGTTAAATACTATTTTAATAAATCACGAGACTATAGCAAATATTATGAACGAGAAACCAATAAATTACTATTCAGTATAGGCGTATTCCTCATAGCTTATGTACTGCTGTTTTTAAGTATATAATAAGCACATCTCCACACGAACATATTATATTATAATTAAGTTTAAGGTATTATTATAATGTTATCAAACGAATATGATTAAAACTGTTTTACATATTATAACATATTATTATACGGGCACGTATATATGTTATTATTATACTTGTGGTGTATGTATAATAGTATTAGTCGAACTTTCGGGAGAACAAAATCTGTAAGAATCCATAATATTACGCGGATGGTATAATATCATACCGAATCAACTTCTACGTTGCATTCAATTTTAATTCATTAACTATACTTTAATAATGTACATCTGCAATCAGCTTAAACATTCATAATGTCCTGAGGCCATGAAAAATTCAACACATTTAAAATTTGTCATAGTGAATCCGAGCTTATAGTATTTTGAAAATAAAATAAAACGTCGGCTGAAATTGACGTTTAAATAGTACCTAGGTATCAATACAACAAAATCTATATAATTATAATATTATGTATACTCAGTTAATGACTGTACCCAGTGGCGGACTTAACGGTCGTTTAGTCGGCAAATGCCAACGGGGCCCCCTCCTAAATTGTGCACCGAGGCCCACCTAAATTATAAAGTTGATTTTTTTTTAATTTTAACCAAAAAAATGTATATTTCAAACTGGAATATAATTTACCATTGTTTAATGATAAAATAGTTTAATGTATAGGAATACTTTAAAAGTATAAAATATTGTAATTAAATTAAGTATACAATATTATAAATAGAGGCAACGAGCAATTGCCGCCACACCACCAATTCACTCTCCAACCTAGCCGACCGGTCCGTCTACCATCACTATTGTTTTTGTGAATTATTATATAAAATGGTAATTTTATCATCGACCAATGTACATAGCGGCTCCTAAAATTTGTGTGTAGTACAAAAAGTGAAATGTGTAGTACGAAATTTAAAAGTGTATAACTCAAATTAAAGTATTAAACCTTTATAATATTATGAATAATTTTATGGCTTCACTTTTTTTTTATATATTTGCATGGTTTTTCGTCAAGCTACATTTTAATTATAATCTACATTCTATACACAGGAATTTTATATACCTACTTTTAATTTTGTTTTATTTGTAAAAATAAATAAAAACTTAACATTTTTTTTTTAACTAGAAGAGTTGTTACTATATTATTGATTATTGGTTGATATTATTTCTTGCGAACGAAGAGATCGGTTTTGTGAAATGGGGATAAGTATTTTACTGATAAATTGTGTAAGAGGCCCCTCTTATTGATTTGCCGACTTTCTTTGAACCCTTAAATCCGCCACTGACTGTTCCTAGTTAATGTTGATTTCTGTAAATAAACTCTTAGATCGGACTTTAAATAAAAACCACACGAATACTAAGATTAGATTGACTTTAAGTGCTGTGTTTGTTTTCAAAATTGTTAATTTCAGGACGACAATTCCAGTATACAATACCGATAACTAATAAGTACTTATGCTACTCTATTCAACTTTCATTCGGACATTAATCTCGCAAAATTTGTATTTAGTATTCTGTTGATTGAGGTTTCTATTTTCCTTGTGATGTCTGGTGGTGAGGTCCGTACGAGGTTACAGGTGTTTTTAATTTCGTTCAGTTTTGAGGAACCTTGTGTTCAAGTCCGTAGCCAAATGATGTTCGAAATCCAAGTATATATTATACTGCTAATCAATACACGATACTAATGTTTTTAATTCGAAAATAGGTTAGATTACGATTTTAAACCGAGTTCATGTCTTCAGATATGTATTTTGGATAGGTAATGTTTGTATAGCAATCTCCTTGCTGTCAAAACTGTAATGATTATAATTTATAACATTGCAGTTTTGAAAAATGTTAAATATCTTAATAATGCAAAATATATTTAAAGTAAGGTACCTAGTACAAAAATATTGTAGTGGAATGTTTTGATTTTAAATCGAGTTCTTTATAAGTTTATAATACCCAACTATATAGACAAGTAAATTGTTGTGATACAACAAAACGTTGTTATTATTGAGTTAAGCTGTATTCTGTAATAAAAAAAAAAATATATAAACTATGAAAAAAAATCTTGTTCTTGTTGACATGAACCTACTCCAAGTTTTAAAAACTTTAGTGTTTTAAAAATGTATTATATTGTACGTGTTTTAACAATACTATTAAAATTAGTGTTCACACTTTGGACTTTTAAGCGGTATATTATACTATACGATTATATAAATTCCAATAAGTTTAATAATATGGTATAATACAGGGTTTATCTTATGACTTCACACTTTACAGTGATATTTTCACCTCGATAACAATACAAATATGAAATCGATATGTAATTATATATAATTAAAACTTACCGAAACTTGAGTTCGTTATGCGTATAACAACTACACGATTCCACCATTGATATTAGATATCACTAATATTGTAGAAACATCGAAAGATGAACACAGAATTGTCTCCATTAAATGTTTGTTGTCCGTAGCACTGAAAGGTCGTATTCGTATGAACAATTCGCTATAATTTATCGACCAACAAACGATATATTTTCCATTAAAATTTTCTTAAACAATACATAACGGAAATAACTTCTTTATTGACTATTGTTTTCCACTAAGATAGTTTGACTATAAATATAATAATTTAATAACTACAAAATATTGTGAAAAAAAAAAATGACACCAGACTCTATCTATGCGATTGGTTTTTATATTTTTATATAACCTGCACATTAGATTATTTATACACTATATAGGCTATATAGATAACTTAGTTAACAATTTAGCAAATTCTATGAACCTCTCAAGCTATTGACAATAATCTTAAACAATTTATTTATCTTTTCCCTTTTGATACATTATACTCCAAACTGATTAAACCTTTGAATTTATTTATGTTTGTACCGTATAGAGACCAAATGTATTGGAACGCAGTGCTTCTAATGGCCTGGTCTTTGGCCACGGTCTCAGCCATTTTGGATTCCACCAGGAGTCAACGTTACTGGGATGACACGAAACCCGACGAAGCCGGTCGCTATCCAAACGATAACATGCTGAAAACATATATGGCCAGAGGAGGAGGAAATAAACATTTCGTTACTTCCGTATTTCCGGGTGCCTATATAATAATTTATAATAATAATAATAATAATTCATTTAATAGTAAACTTTTTATAATTTGATCACGAGTACAAATAAACACTATCGACCATCTTGGTATTAAGTAGGCCTTCTTCAAAACATCTTCGTAGATATAAAAAGTGATGGTCTGTTTCGAGACAAGTGAACTGAAATGAGGTACCAATACCCAGTTTCTGTATCCTGTTTACCTCTATCATACGGATTCAAAATAATGAACATCACACGACATTCTATATAAAAAAAAAAGACATAAAATTGGTTTTATAGTACCTATGACGAAATACCGTCTCGACGACAATTTATAAATGAAATAGTTTATAATTATAATACATATAAATATTGTTTAACACATATTATAATTGTTTTGTTAAAACTTTAAGGTTAATTCAAAACATTATTTTGGGCAGTTTGACAGTTAAGGTTAACATCCGTTGATCAGATGAAGGTTTAAATAATATTTAAGAAGTTTATCACAATAAAAAAATATATATTAATCTTTTAAAGAACTCTTATAAATCTACTGTATTTAAATATGTTATATGAAAGTCGACTAGTGCTGACATATTTATAAAGAATATTATAATGATTAGCTTATCTTTTTGAAAAGATAATAATTGATTTAAAATGTTTAAATACATTTTATTCAAATGCTATCTTGAAGGAACGCTTTTACTGCATTTTTACTTAAAAGGTATTACGTTTCTTCTTTCTAAATTTCCTTCTCTCGATTAAATGTCTGTGTTTTTGCTCAAATTTAATAAAGTAAAACTATTTTATCTCCAAAAGCTAGTAAAGAATAATTTATTCAGCGATTCTCTGAGAAAGTGTCTAAATCAATTTTAAACGTTGATAGGTATACAGGCTTGTAAAAAATACTTTTGAAAAAGTAATAAGATACTAATACTAGTATTCGAATAAAAAAGTATTAAAAATACTTTTAAAATACTATTATGAAAATGTATTTTATGAATACTCACAAAGTATTTGAATACAAATGCCAGTATTGTTTTTAATTTTATGCTAATTAATAATATAATATATGTACATTGTACATCAGTATAGGTACCTATTATATTACTACTTACCATAGATTTTAACAATATTACTATAACATGTCTGACTATTTAGAGATAAATATATGTTCACATATTTCATTCTACATTCAGATATATTTCAAATAATATTGATTAAATTTTAATGAAAAAAATAAAATAAAAAGTGGTATTAACTATTAATATGGAACTATTTTAAAATTATTAGATTTTCAGTTTTCTTAAAAAAATTCCAATACAGAAACGATACAAAGTTAATAAACGGACTTTATGGTATTTTAGTACAAGTATTTAAATTTTGTTAAAAATACTTTTAAAAAGTATTCAAAATACTTACAAAATACATTAAAAAAAATTGTATTTAGAATACCATATAAATACTTCAAAAAGTATTCAAATACTTGTATTCGAATACTTCACAAGACTGTAGGTACACTTGAATATATAAAAACAATTTTTGTGACATATAGATTAATGCATTGTTTTAATATTAATTATCCGACAATAATAATTCCCATTGATGATAATAATTTAAAAGTGATGGATACAATTTAACCACTAAACTTCGAAACTGTTCGAATATTAATATTAAATGTCACTACATCGCAAGTATGTATTTTGCACAATTCCTAAATGTAAACGATGCTTACAGTTCCGTTAAAATATTTTTATCAATATATTATTATCTTACAGAAATGGATGCCAGAGGATTTCACGAATACGTTTTCGATGGACTACAGCCGGATTTTCAGTGGCCGTCAATTAAGTTTAAAAGGAACTATTATCCGCAAGGAATTACGTCTCGAGGGTTCAGCGATGATATTTTTCACCAAAGCTTTGGAATGTTCGAGCCTTTAAAAAGGTACGTATTTGAAAATAGCATGGAATATATTAGGTACCTACCAACAAAATAAACAAATAACCTCAGTAAACTCGAGTTTCGAACTAATAATTTTAAACGTGATAAAATATACGAATATGTCATAAAATATAATATTATACATATGTGTAAAACAACTTGGTGTGCTTCACTCTAAGCAGATGATAATATTATAGGTAGCACAAAAAAGGTTATTAATAATCATATTGATGGGTTTCAATAACAATCAACAGAAACGGGTGAACGATTATTCTATAAACACCTATAATTATCGTACAATACATATATAGGGTGTCCATTAGAGGGGAGTCAGGACAAAAATAGGATTTTTGCCTTTTTTTTTGAGGGGGAGGAGTCAAAATATAATAAATATTTTTGACCAAAAAAATATCGAAAAATATCGAGGGGATGAAGTGAAACCCTTTTACACGTCAAATACTTGACCAATAATAAATCTTTACATTTAAACACTATAATATATATATAAGCAATACGCCAACACGTGAAGTATTGTGAAAATATATCAAGTCAGACTTATTCATATTATAATAAATATAACTTTAAGTCTACCTAATCATGATATAAAATATCTTATAACGACTTATAAGTTAAAGTTATTTCACTTACTTATCAGTTATATATTACATAAAACGCGCAAAGAACATGATGTCAAGCTCGATAATGCTTTGAAAAAATGTGCCCATTTTCACCCTCAGATTATGCCTACGCTGAAGTCCACTTAAACGAAACTTTCTGTACTTATATTGTGTCGTACGAAAATCATTAGTGCTGCAAAAATATACAAATTGATCGTTATTATCATGAAAAAGTTCAAGATGTTAATAAATATACAAATGGTGTTTTTCTTTGGATTTTCGTGTATAATTTATGGAATTTCAAATAAAACATTCCCACAATGAAGTGGATATCCGAGTCGAGTAAAAAAATTAATTCTGAAGAGGTGATAATGATATGCTATATTATAATATTTTACATTTTTACTATAATATTTAATAAATTCGTATACGTTCTTTTATTTCAGAAATTAAAAAGTAAAATTTCATTTTTATACCTACCTACCGTGCGGTATATAAGTGGTAGGCACATTTTATATTTTTAATCGATGAAAAAAAAAATATAAAACCCTACAAAGTCGATATTTACATATTTACATACAACACTCGTACCTATACTATACGCTTAGACGTATGCATTTTTTTTTTTGTTTTATTCGCTGTTACAATAAAGTCGTGTAAAATATTGTCGACTTTCTCATAGTTTCGTCGGAAACAGCAAAGTCAATCATATTATTATAATATTTCATTGCCCGATTAGAGTAGACAAAAAAGATAGTGCACAGTAAGCTTATCACCGTGTGGTATGCATATCAAATATAGGATATAGCTAGTATATAATATTATTGTAATATTTAGTGGTCAGTATGTACATATAATATTAATGTTATAAATTTAAGTCAATATAATATAGGTATTTGTGTTGAGTGTAATCGATCTATGAGAATGATATTAAGAATTAATAATATTAAGATTAAGAATCATACCTATTATGCCTGACTAATAATTATTATAATCAACACTATTTATCTGGTAAATAAATTTACATCATTGTTTTGTTTGTTACGAAATAGTGTTTAAAATTAGACGAATTCTGAGTATATTTTATATTTTTAACACGCATTTCTATTATTAAGTTATTTTATTGCGTACTTATTATTATAACTAGGTAGATACCGAACGCTTTCATTATTTTTTATCTGTACTTCCTGAAAAACAACCTGTAGAATATTTTATGTAACGAAATACTGTGGATGTATTATTATCACAGCGTACGTCCAAATTGTACAAAATTAAGGCAACCATAACCCATACTAATCGTAATCATTTCATATTTAACGTCGGCTGACGAAGCTTTCTGTTGAAAAACTATTCGGAAATAAGGTTGCGTAATAATTAGCAAATTATGGAATATAAGTAGTTATGTTTATATAAATATATATTTTACCCCAAGTTAGAGGGTATCCACACCGGGCCTCCCTCCTCACGCAATTTCATGTTATATTACCTTATTATATTAGCTAGTATCAAATTTACTTATTATATATTGTATATGAATATTACAGATTGTAAATACCTCCTCTATTTTATCTAATAAAAAAGTATATAATAATAATGTATATAATATATCAAAAGTACGATACAACTATTATAGACAATCTTTTGACTCGGATTAATTTTGAGCACATTCGTATAGAATCGGAAGAAACTAAAATATAATTTTATTTTGCAAGGCGACAGTGGTCCAGTTGGGTACATATATCCTGCAAGGATTCGTGTGTATTTCACATCACGTATAGTGTATAAATGTATAATATTATTATGCATTGTACAGCAATACATCGTCGATCATCATTAGTCATAGTAAACAATAATAAGTAAAATTAAAACTCGTGTTCGCTTTGTGGACCTTGCACCAAGATAAAATATCCGGTCTAAGCGCGATGAGTAATATTAGCAATTCCGTCTATAAACCGTGAAAATAACGTGCATTTTATAATCCAGTTATATCCACACAAATATAATATTTATGTACTGGGCAGCAATATTTCATAATAATTTGGAATAAACTCGAGCAAAAATCGTAATAGATATAAATCAAACTTAAATTATTAAACAATAATATATAATTCACAATAGAGGTGCTAAATTAGATTGAACAGCTGTTATAATTAAGTATTTAAACGTGATTTATCATGATTATTATATTGTGGTTTACACAAAAATACGCGTGTGTGTAATATATTATTATTACTATTATTCCCTTCTATATTATATCAATATGATAAAACGACAAGTTCGTAAATATTTTTGTACCGGAGAATATTATTTTGATTAAATATATTTTATCATAACGAATTGCTATTGCTGCAGGGAAATAATATTTGATTTAACTTCTGCACGAACCGATAAAAAGAAACTTGAATTACACTTCTCGATTTATTTTCCACCCGAAATAGTTTTACAAACGACCGACTTCTCATGGTACGTACAAAAAATACGAACATCTCTTACAATATTATGACAATCGTACTATAATATAATATATATATCATTATTATAATATTAAATGCCAAACGGTTACATAATAATCCATACAAAAAATAAAAATCACCAACGTAGACTTTTAATAATTAGTTCACAGACGCTTAGTCATTATACTGACAAGTTAACATTGTTGACGTGTTGACAGTGCGGACATTATTATAATATTATAACAATAAAGTGGGAATTAATTGTTATGCATTATTATGCGGAAAAACGTTTATAACCCTATGATGGGATGTGACAAATAAATACAGAAATAATACAAATTACAGGTAGACTTATTGTAAGTAGGTAGTTTCATTCTTATAACTTTAAATCTCCATGTACAGTCGAGTTTTTATGAGTCAAAGCATTTTGTTTATTATTTTTTTCATTGACCATTTCGGTTTATTTAGGTAGGTAAAAGTACTAAACGAAATTAATGCTATACATATGATTTTTTCCATTTGTAATTTTTACACACCCATTATGATTCATTAATTTAATCATTCAGTTTGCTCATCGGTCATCTCATTATATTATGCAAATGATTGGTTACTTCATAGTTCAAAATGGTTATACCCACAGAATAATTATTTGAAAAGTAAACAATAATTGCGCAAATTTAATCACATTATCAATCTGATCATCTAATTGGTTTGTATTATAAAAACACTTTTCACATTATTTATTTTTTATTTGTCATGCAGTACCTATATATTTTTTTTTTAATGAAACTTTTTTCAACCATTGAGATAACAATTTTAAAATAAATTTGCATTATTGGAATCTAAATTAATTTTTTTGATTTATTTGACCAATTTATTGTCATTATAATGATAAATTAAACAACTATAATATTATATTATTAGATTTTATTAGTGTTGTATTTTAATTTATCGGTGTACATTTTTGAATGATAAATGATTTTTATTACTGTATTAGAGTTCATTAATATTTTGAAAAAGTTTGAACCTTTAGTGGCCACCAGACTTTTACAGCAATATTACAACAGGTACCCATTTATAATAATTAATATTCAACAAAAAGTAGTTTTTACTAAAAGAAAATGTTAATGATTTAGTGAATAAATGTTACATTTGTTACATATTATTATTATATACATTACAAACAGATAATTTAATTTATATAAATATGCCATCGAGACGACACAATATATTTAGCATACAAAACATATTTGAGGTATTACTTGAATAACTATAATATAATAATTATTACAATGATATGTGTTCAAACGATCATAGAAATGGAGGAGCACTTTGGAGAGATTCTCTTTTTGTGTATTTTTAGATTCTGAGCGGAGCGAGGAAGCTAGTAGTTTTACAATAGTGTTTTTTTTTTTTATATCCTGTACACAAAATTTCTACCAGAAGGAGTGCTTCGATTTCAACATATAGTACATTATATTTTAGAAAATTGGATCAAGATGGTACTTTAAAGAGGTCATTTTTCGATTTTCTCAATAGTTATTTAATGCCACTGGAAAAACACCACCGACAAATGAATAAAAACCATTAAAGATGGAAATTTAATTTCTAAAGCTTTGTGTATCACCATAGAAACGGATGAAAAATAATAATATTATAATATTAATTCAACTTACAGGATATAGTAAATAACAACAAAAGCGGGTAAGTGGCTGTCGCTCTGCTGTACAGTAGGTTACAAGTGGGTCATGTATAATGGATATTGGATTGTATTAAACTTGAATCTATTCTATCATTGTATAAGAAAAACGATTCTGAGCTGAGGCGGTTTATCAGTCTGGATATTTTATATTGTCATTAATAATTATTTTACCATGTAAGTTGAATTAATATTATAAAATTATTAATTTTTTTTTTATTCGTTTCTATGGTGATACACAAAGCGTTAGTAATTAAAATCCAATTTTTAGTGGTTTTTCGTAATTTTTCGGTGGTTTTTACCGTGGCATTAAATAACTATTGATAAAATCCAAAAATGACCTCTTTAAAGTACCATCTTTAACCAATTTTCTAAAAGATAAGGTGCTATATGTTGAAATCGAAGAGCTCCTTCTGGTAGAAATTTTGTATACAGGATATAAAAATTAAAAGAGAAATTAAACATCATTGTAAAACCAGTAGCATCCTAGCTCCGCTCAGAATCTAATATAAAATATATCCAAACTGACAAATCGTCTCCGCTCATCAGAACCGTTTTTCTCATACGATGATATCATGTCATTGAATTCAAGTTTAATACATTAATCCGTTATACATTGACCCACTATTGTAACGTACTGTACAGCGGAGCGACATCTACTTACCCACTTTTTTTATTTTATATCGATAAAGTCGTGATAACAAAAAAAAAAAAATGAAACTAGATCCGTTTGAATGTACCTATACAATATACCTACATGCATCTCGTAGTACACAATTAAGATGACTAAAACAAATGAAATCATGTCCCAGATAAAAACAATCGACTGTTTGATAAATATATATTATATAGGCAATTATGGTATGTAGGTTGCTATATTGTTTCTTACATGACCTACGTACATTGCACACTCATGCGATGCGTGCGCATATTGTGTTCAGCCCCGTTTTCGAGAATGATTAAACTTAAATTGCGTTTACGTCTTACGGCGATAACCGTAATAATAATATAATCGAAAATAAAAAAAAAAAACAAAAACAATTTTCCGTTTCATGTTCAAATCGTGAGATACGTTGACCTATTATGTGGTATTATGAAATCAAAAGAGTATACCTAGGTAATAATAATATATATAACGCTTCATGTATATAATATTATGTGTATTAGGTACAGTGTTTATAGGTACTCATATTATCATAACTATGTTTTCACTTACTATGTATTTATTCCATTTGAAAGTCATGGTGTTACAATAATAAATACATTTTTCCGAAACATATTACGCATTCGTTACGATGGGTAATTTATCTTTGAAAAGTGAAAACAAAATACGAAGCCTTCTCCGCGTTTGCTTTTTAAAAATATTTCGTCAATGTGTTAAACCTCTGAGCAGTGATAGGACTGTAGACTGTACCTAGTTGGCAGTTTGGCGTAATATTAAAATATTTACCTAATATCACTGTTCGTGTATGCATACATCGTATTATTGTCTGTTTACGTTGTTCGATTCGATTAGGTTTTATTTCCGGTTTAAAATCCCGTATATTATTTTTTTTAATTTATAATAATATTATATTATAATAATATGTCGCTATACACGTCAAACGAATACGAAAAAACCAATTAATGCGCGACTGACGATGCAGATCATATTATTATTATTAACCATACGATCAATAATCGTATTATATTTTATAATATGGCGATTGTCATGGTTAAAATATTATCATTGTTGGGAGAAAAAACTCAAAAAAAGTAATGACGAATCCGGTGTTGAATTCGGATTATATGCGAATCGCGTTGACAAGCTCGCGTCAACGGTCATAATTTATTATATTATTGTTTCTCTCGAGGATTGAACGATGGTATAATATTATACGGTTTACATTTTAATGTGCTAGGTACATTATATGACACTCTTAATTATACGCAGCTAGGTACCTTTAGTATAATAATAATCCTCAGATGACAACCGAGGCTGGCAAGTTGACTAATAGGTAAATTTAAATCGTCAAGTTATGAGTTAATATGAAAATGTAAGTTAAATAGGGTTGAGGTTGAAGATCAGTTACAATTTTTTTTAAACTGAATATTTAAAATTCAAGCCAAGGCACAATGTTATGTAAATCCGATAAAATTATATACACAAAAACAATAATATTATATATTAAATATAACAGACAGGAAAAAAAAAGAGACGCCATCCGATGATGCACCCAACTATAATTATATTAGTTGTCAGTTATTTAAATTCATTTTTAAAAAGTTAATTTTTTAGGGGACACCGACTGCACATTTATTAGGTCGTTTAAACTTCGAACTGAGTTATCTGGTAATGGTGTTGATGTGTGGTTTGAAATAACTATTTTTGGATGAGACATTAATTTTCTATGGACATTTATTTTAAGTAGTATTTTTGTAGATTATTATGATCTCTAATGAAACCTAGAAATCGGGAATTTAACGCTTAGACGGTATAATATAATTTGGTATTTAGAATACACATAACATTACCTGTAAATAATATAAACATTTTTTTTTAAATAAATAAACATAAATATTAATTTGTACAAAACAACATATATTTTAAATCTATCGGGTTCGTATAATTTTTAGAAAAAAATTAACTCAACGTGACTTTAAAATAATTAACTGATTAGTAACTGAGCGTATCTCCTATACATTTTAACTCCTTAAGTTAAAAGAAAGAAACTTTTAAAAACAGTTTTCTCGTTTTGTAACTTGGTTAAAAGTAACTTAAATTTTAAACTTAACTTTAACTTTTACCTCGTTGATGGCTAGTCTTGGAGGACACTCCCTATCTATTAACTATATAGACTGTATATACTGGCGAATGACGATACAGTTGTATGAAAGGTTTATACAGAGGGCAAAACAAAAAAATATACAATTATATAAATATATAAAATATAATATAACAATACCTATAGGCTATATATAAGTACCTACCTAATATTTATCATCTTATGTAAAAACCATAACACGCTACTTGATATTTTTCGTCTACAAGAAAAATCGATGAATCATAAATTTGTTTTTGTTAAGAAGTAACCATTAGAACGGAAACCTTACGATAAATATCACATAATAGCTTAGATCATAATATACAATGGATAGAGCTACTGCCTAAATATTTGAAGCCAAATATAACTTAACTAAGGGGAATCGATGCAAATGATCATGCTCACAATATTGATATCACGCATTAACGATCACCATCGGGACAACCGTTATCACGCGCAATTTATATCACCGCTAGCTTAGTGATAAATATGATAATTAATATGCGACGAGTACACATGCACAGTTATAGAAATCAGTCCTCTTGAGACTAGTCTCCATGGTCTCTTCAACACGTAGTACGCGTTTATAATGCAATAGGTCTATCCATAGTATATGATCTAAGGCTTAAGCATAATAGTTTACCCAGTGGCGCAAAAAGGGAAGATGTTTAGCCCTCCTAGATGTTTTGGGGGATCAAGCTCCAAAAAAAAAAAAATGTTTTTAAATTATAATATTTATTATATTACTAGCTGATCCCGTGCACTTGGTTGCCCATTAAAATTGACAACTATATATGAATAATATGTTTTACATATCACCAAGGCAATCATTTGTATACAAAACATTCCATCAGAAATTTCAAAATAATATATAAATAGTTGCCATGGTAATGTGGACAGTGTCCATTGGAGGACACACATACATTCATTTTTTTATATATATAGATTTATTTTTGAGGGGGCTTTGAGTGATTTTGAGGGGGCTAAGCATCTCACCTCCCAAACCCCCCCCCTATTTGCGCCACCGAGTATAACTTCTATACGGCGATGATGATAATATAATACGGTCGTGCGACGACGGTCTGTCCCGCAGGTCGGTGTCCAGAACTTCGCCATCCGTGGCCAACATGTTGCGGCGCCTGTACCCGAACACCGGCGGCATCAGACTGCGCCAACCCGACGAGCACGCCCCGAGATCGACAGCGGCCAAGCGCCGGCCCGAGATGGACGCCAACGGGTTCCACGGCGACTCGTTCACCGGCGGTTTCGACCGGTTCGACACGATGAAGCGCAGGCCCGAAATGGACGAGACCGGTTTCGAGGGCGACTCGTTCACCGGTTTCGGCGGGTTCGAGACCATGAAGAGGGACGGCGGCGGCAAGAACCCGGCCGGCCCCGCGTCGCCCGCCCACGCCGGTCGGCTGTTCGGCGCGCGACAGGAGTAGCGGCGGCGGCGGCATTACACCGCACCGTCACCACCCCACCGTCACCCCCCAAGCAGGAGTACACTCTTCGCCATTGCAGTCGCCATCGCCTCCGCCGTCGTCGTCGTCGTTGTCGACGTTTTTTAATATATTATTAATAATATAATACAAATACGAAAATATAATATACGTATTTATAGCCAGTAGCAATCGGATTCATATAATATTATCATTATTATTATTATATAATATTATTATAATATAGAGAGACTTAAATATTACCGTAGGCGGAAATCGTGTGTGCGCACGACTATTGCAGCTATAATACGAGAGAGGCTAACGTTTTAAAATACCCAACACAGACTATTTTCTCGAAACGAAAAACAATGTAGCAAATAATATTTTTATCTGTCGATAAATACTCGGTTTAGTAACCTAAGTCTCTGTCTGTACGGACAATATTCCTAAAAGAAAACATTTTTAAATTTCAATCTTCGGGGGTTTTGCTACAGCTTTGGGGATATCTAAATCCACGCTCCCAGCACGATTTCCGCCAATGCTTATTACTTTCATTCATATTATTATTGCAATTGATTGAAACGATGGACGATCGGTGTGATACACGTGCGATGTTATACCTATATTATAATATTATACACATAGTCACATAGATGTGTATGATGTGTCGATAACTACAATATTATAAACTAATTTTTGTTCTAAATTATATAATCTGAAATAAATGAGATATGTAAACATTTGTTGGTTTCTATGGTAACACGGTGTGACAAGAAAAACACAATTGTTCAAGATGTGTTATTGATAAGTGCTGCTGTTGTGTCAGAGCTTCGGAAGAAAATAATGTCGATAATAAACAAACGATGCTTTTTTGGGAACCATTTAACTGTAAATCCTATTTGAATTTTTTTTCCAAGCAAAACCTCCAGAGTCACCCAATCGTAGCACAAACATTGGAAAATGCCGTTCTTTGTTATTCAAACAACATTAAAATCGTTTGTAATAATAATTAAGTTTAACAGCTGCATAAGTAAACAAGATAAATCCCACAAATAAATTATATATTTTCTATAAACGCCAAAAAGAAGATATATGCATAATATTTGCATATTAGCATTCAATAAACATCATTATTTTTTCACGAGTCGAATCAAAATTTCATCGTGTCGTATTTTTTTTTTTTTTGTTTCATAAGTCTTTAATCTGAGTACCTAGTTTATTGTTAACTTACAGTGATGGTTTTGCAGTTTAGTTTTAAGTTTACAATTATCCAAATGAAAATCTACACGAAAAATCACAGTAATAGACGATTTTATGAAAGAAAAAATGTCAAGATGAAAATAAATAACGATCGGTTATTCAAAATTATAATTTAAAATGTGTTAATAGAATAGAAATAATAGAATAACACGACTATATTATAGTATGTATATGCTATATGAGTAACAATTATTATAATACATCATAATATGACATGTTGACTAGGAATTCCTGATTTATCCTTATTGAGTATTTTAATATATTTTTTAATCAATTATATCATATTATCATTATTATTATTGTCAATAATTTACGATATTTTCCAAACACCAATACGTTACGTAAGCACGCATATGTTTCAAACTTGAATAAACTATCGATACATAATATAAAACTTATACTACGAAGTTTGATATGTTTTTTTGTTTTTCAACTCTACACACGTGTTCTCTGAGGAGAAAATTGTTTTGGCGTATAGTTTCGACACGAAAAATAATATTATGTATACGTACCAAGAATTTCCGATATCTATTATACGAATACACCTACCTATCTATAAATAATACAACAATAAATAATAACACGGTTCTATACCCCAACAATATGGTCGGTAGGTGAAAGCATTTTTGCACATCAAAGCGAGCCGTTTTGGAAACACGACGCGTACCGCGGTATACTTAGGTAACTGATCTTATATCACACACACAGCTGATGTAAAGGGGTCTTAATGTGTATATACCTACTACGTGTCTCTGACAACTGGAGATTCATTATACGCAGACACGGAAAGTTTCACACGGTCAGCCGGTGAGGGTGGGCACAATACAGTGAGCGGGAATGAAAACGTCCGAAGCGTCGACGGTCATCTCTCGAAGGTCGAACACTAACACTTAGGTACCTGTAAGTAAATCGGTTTTTTTTTCAGGCTAGAAAAATGACGATAATAATATGACCATCCTTGTCGTGTGCAAGTGGCTATGGGTTACACGCTGCTACGGCGATTGCACTGCAGCACAGCTGTACAAAAGGCATAAAATATTATTTATCATTTCATTCACGAGGTGGTTCGTACCTATATATTATGATATTACGTTATCTATTTATATTCGAAAAGCTGTTTGGCTGTCATTGCGCCTATACATAGGCACGATAATCTTTACCCCGATCGGTACTGCCACTGTTATATAATAATAATATATGATAATACCATATTTATGTACTAGCTTCAATAATAATATCGTCCGGTAAGTATACGTACCTACTGTTTATTTTTTCAACCCCAAGGTTGGATAAATACATACTCTCTCCACTCTTCATCCCTCTTACCGACTAGAGTTCCTTCAACTCGGCGTATAGCTTGATAACGCAGCGTTGGAAATCTTTTGATTAATAAACGATGTTCAGGTGTGTTTTGCCATAAATTGTTCGTTCTATTATTCTATAAAATGTATAGTACATTATATTTCCATGCATCAGTAAGTGCCCAATCACGTCCCCCATTGTCTTACTTCAATTATTATTCTGAGTAACTCTATGTAATCATATTTTATTTCTTTGAGAGTACTTTAGTTCGTTAATCGTTGTATCCGACTCACACGTAACATCCTTCAGCTTTCTTCAGCGTCATATCTCTAAACCTCGAAGAAGATAAATATAATGCGATACTGAGGCCAGTGGGTCAAGAAATTATGACGATGCGACAGAATAAATACACAAATCGTTATACCAGAAACTGTCCTCGTTAAATTATTAAGTATAATATTATCACAACAAAAATCCTTCTTAAACTACGTATAAAAATGACTAAGTAAAAAAAAATATAAGATCTTTAAGCACTATGAAATATAAAGATGTGATACCATGATTAAATGCTAAGTATATTGAATTTGAGTAAACTTATTTTGTTTCAATAATTTTAGGAAGGAATTATTTCTTAAAAGAAACAAAGTGTGATGAACAAAATAATTAAACGACAAAGGACTATTAAAATATAACTTATTATTATTTTAAAAATATTATTATTAATATTTATATACTCTTCTAAATAATTTCTCGCCAAGTAAATAAATTATTGAAACAAAATAAGTTTACTTAGATTCAATATACTTAGCATGTTCGGTGGGGCACATTATCTTCTTGAAGAATAAAAAAAAAAAAATGAAAAACCTAACCAGTCGGGGGACTGCCGGTAGAAGAGTACATATATGTATAAATGATAGTCATAAATCATACTTTTATCAACTAGAAACACTGAAAATTTTCTGGATTTCTTGATGATTTTAAAATAAGTTCTATATAGTCTTCTAAAGTGTATAGAGTATAGACGATCCACTCTGTTCAGTTGTTTTTTTATCAATGCAAAGTCACGATCACACGGCAAAAACGAGTGTCCTCTTTGTGGAAAAAACACCTGAACTTTTTTGATTTTTTTAATTTCAACTAGAGCCATAATCATTCTGAGTAATGCGTGGTTTTTGTTCTGCCCAGCACAATTGTCACAAAACAAATGCAATTCCTCAAAATCATCATCAACAAAACTATTAATATAGTGAACCAAAAAAGAGCATACATCATTTGGTGTTTTTCTTGCTGTTGCCTCATAATAAACATTACAAAATAAATTATTCGTGTTTAAATTATGAATACCAAAAGTATTGACAGATAATTTCAACCAGTACAATATTATTTTATTCACTGATAATCATTTTATTTTATATGTAGGTATAGCAACGTTTTCACCATTATAATCTTTATTTACCTACTGATAAACAATTGTACAAAATTAAATTTATAAATAGAAAAATATTACATGTCATACAATAAAGTGATTTCACGAAGATTAGGTTTGATAATATTACTAAAGTATAATTTTGATGCAAAAAGGTTACGTCATGTCCAGGACATGTGTCTTTTTTGCAATTAACGAAATTTTAAATTATTTTTAACGGGGATCTATTTAATAGGACATGTGCCTTGTCTGCACAAAACCATGTATTTATCAATATTAAATTCGAGGTATGCAATAAAGTGATTTTTGTAAAATATTGGACATGTGCCCTTTCTGCATTTAGCAATTCATATACTCGCGGTGGCGGTGGCGGTGTCGCGAGATCATACTTTTTCCTCACTCGCAAATGCTTTCTTATACGGGGTGCCCAACGTGCCTAAAGAAGTTTTCACTTCAAAAATATAACAATATAAATATAACGCGCGGTTGCTATACGTGACCAAACAAATACATATATATATACTCACGGTGGCGGTGGCTGTGTCGCGAGATCATACTTTTTTCCTCACTCGCAAATATATATATGTAAAATAAATATAACAATATAAATATAAATATAAAGCACGGTTGCTATACGTGACCAAACAAATACATATATATACTCGCGGTGGCGGTGGCGGTGTCGCGAGTTAATACTTTTTTCCTCACTCGCAAATGCTTTCTTATACGGGGTGCCCAACGTGCCTAAAGAAGTTTTCACTTCAAAAATATTATATTCATGATATTACATCTTTATAGGCTTATAGCGCTTAAAGATCATATATTTTTTTTACTTACCTAGTCATTTTTACACGTAGTTTACGAAGGATTTTTGTTGTGATACCACTAATTTTTATCGTTAATAAATATTGAGTATTATATAAATATATAATATTAAATACAATAATCTATAAGAACTTTAATATTGTTGGTAACATTGGCATCGCTGATGAGACGACGGCTACCGTGGTACTGA